GGTTCATTGTTCCTTAACCCTAAAACCCTAAACCCTAAACTCGGGTGAAGGTCGGAAGCTTCTTCTGTCTGCGTTGTTCATGCCAGCGGCATTTCTACCTCAATGCTCTGATATGGCAATGGCTCCTAATATAGGGGCCTCAATAATTAGAATGGGGTTTTGGGGCCCAAGCATTATACTACAATGATCATGAGGAGCCTCTAAGATAGTATAGGTATATATTGAGATTCCTATACTACTCAATGTAGATATTGATGTTGCCTGTGTTGCAGCCGCGGCAAGTATCAGAAGGCATGTGCAACACATCTTCGGCAAGTGCAGCAGGAGCCCTCCACTGTAAGCTTGACGACCAAATTAAGGCCGTAAGGCTCAAAGTCGGTTGTACCGATTGCACGACTCAACCTGGGATCATGCAAAGACCTGGAAACGTGAAGCACAACATCTCTACAACAGTCTCTGGGTCTGAATTATTCATTCGGTTTTGGCCTTGCGAAAACCGTCCCTGTTGAACCAAAATTTGTGTTGGCTGTTGAAAGGCTTTGGAAGCCGAAGCGGACAACCCGGATATTGGTTGCAATGAATACAAAACTACGTAACATCAAGAATCGACATGCTAGATGAAAACTAACATGAGTGAGACTCATTCTGTTAAATGCAAACTAACCTTATCCGAGGAGAGGCATCCCCTGTCTCCAAATTGCCGTGAAAGATTAAGCTGGCGACAACCTCAATCACAAAGCCTCCGCATAGGCTGCCGGAGTCGACACTGTGCGCGTGCCTGTCAACTTGACAAACGCAAAACACGAGACTCCGCAGCACAATAGCCGCTAAGACCTGGTTTGCTTTTTAACACGTCGAACATTGAGAAACCAACCGCCACTGGAAGATCGGTGCATCCAAACCGTCGCGACCATGCCCATGATGCGAAACACCAGACGCTGCTTGAGGCATTTCCGATATGTTCGCTCATCTTCTCGCGTTTTTGCCGCTGCACGAGGAAAACGTGGTAAGGGGTTGGTTGCTGCAGACATCTTGCACTGTCACTGGCACACAGGCTGCTGGCCAATTGCTCGAGCTGATGCTCCAGCACACCAAGACACCTATCAAACCCTTACACGACGGTATCACCACCCCTCCCCCCAACCCTAAACCCTAAACCTCAAACCCTAAACCTCGCAACCGCCTGCTGGCGCCACAAAAGCCGAGGCCAGGGAGGCGATGGAAGCCAGCAAGACGAGGCCTCGAAGTTTCGAAGAGCTTGAGGTCTAGGGTATGGGGTTTAGGGTTTTAGGGGTTTAGGGGTTTGGGGTTTCGGGGTTTAGGGTTTAAAACCACCCGAACCCTATGCCCCTGACCCCTAACCTTCAACCCTGAAGCCCTAAACCCAAACCCTCAAACCCCTAAACTCCAAACCCCTACTGCCTACTCAAGCAAAGCTTCCGGAAAGCCCAGAAGAGCTGAACTTAGGCACGGTTGCGGGGTTTAGGGCTTTAAGGATTTTTTAGGGATTAGGGTTGTGGAATTTAGGCCTGTTTAGGGGTGGCTTTGGGGGTTATGGCTGAAGTTGTGGAGTTTAGGGTTGCTCAGGGGCCAGAGTTCCGGGGTTCGGTGTTTATAGGGTTCAGGGGCACAACACAGCTTGATTGCTGCATGGAAAGAACCCTGGACCCTTGTATTCTTAATCCCCAGCACAGTGTCTGAATCAAGTCGAAGCTGTCAAAGCGGCGTTCTAAATCCATAAACCTCTCCGCAGCTTCACGGTGGCTTCTGCAACGACTTGAAGAATGCGCAAGAGTCGACGAAGGCTGCAGAAGAAAGTCGGCACACTCATGGTCTGGCCTGTCAGTATGAACGATGGACTAGCACTTGTATAGTAGTTGTGGTACCAGTAGAAGTGGTGCTGCCTGCACTACGAGTTACCACCCTACTGCATAGCTACCCTTCAACATCCCGCATGCCCCCAAACGCACTACCACCACCACCATCACCGTCGACGACGACGACGACCAACTTCATAGCCATCACGATCACCACCATCACGGCAGTCATCACTTTCTAATTTAAACATTTTAAAACTTAACACCCGGAATTCAGGATCATCTTGGTATTGTCTGGACACCTAAGGTCGCGGCGGAAAGTCATCCCGGACTTCTGAAGTGTTCTGCCTCGGGGGATCGCAGACAGGACAGTGACACAGCTGAAGTTAGACAGTCTTAAATCTTAAGGGTCTAGAGTTTAGGGTTTTCGTCGTCCATTACTTTAGAAGAGTCTCATTGCTGTCATATGTGCTTTGATGGCCCCTTGACCGAATTCACCACGCTTCTGTGTCTTGCGACACAGATCTTTCGCCTGGTTCGGCGGCAGTTGTAGAATCAGGCCAAGGAGAGAAGATACACAGTTGCGTGGCTTTGCAGGGATCGTCCCACAGAAGTAGTTTAGTAGTAAGCCCTGACAGCTGTTGAGATTTAGGAGCTTTGGAGTGCTCGGGACGCCTAATGGCCTAATGTGGTGGCCCGAATAGTAGGCCCCCCCTCCTCCCTCGACCAGAACTTTTGGCTTGAACAGTCTGGTGTCCGCGACGCGCTGGACCTAGATTGGGGGCTCTTGTCTTCTGTTAGCTTGGAGTCTGGGTGGCTTTGACTAAGTTAGAAGGGAATCGGGGGGTCCACGGGCTTTGGGGAGGGCTTGGGTGCAGGGGCTGCGCTTCTGCGCGAATGGCTGGATTTGGGCGTCTCCACAAGCTCGAAGCTAAGCCAGGATCACTCCAAGATAGCTACTGAGACTAAAAAAACCTTTGATATTGAAGACTTTTCCCTCCAGCCTACACTCCCCTCCACAATCGACCAAGTCTGAGGCGTGGGTCTGCACAGTAGTACAGTAGTAGTACAACAGTAGTACAGTAGTAGTACAGTAGTGGGACAGGCGATTCAATAGTGGGACAGTAGTAGTACAGTAGTAGTACGGTAGCCTAGTAGTACAGTAGTAGTACTGTAGTACAACAGCAGTATATAGTATATACAGTAATAGTACAGTATGGTTAGGGTTTAGGCTTCAGGGGGGTTCGGGTTTGGGGAGAGTTTCGGGCTTCAGGGCCAGGGTTTTAGGGCTTGGAGTGGCATTTAGGGTCGTGGGTGCCTTAATTAAGATTAACCATCAGCAGACCGGAGCACACCAACCAAGAAACATCCCCAGCCAAAAAAACGCATTCATTAGGCCGCCCATTTTTGGGTACCGGCTCGAATTAGCAAAACAACGCACTATAGAGGCTCCGTTTATTAGAGGAGCCCTCACATTACCATCTAATAGTCAGGGAGCAGAAGATTCCCTTGTGATTCCTTGCATGGAACACGCAAGAACATGGCGAAGAACTCTAGCACTTCGGGCTGGGGCTGCCTAGATGACACACTAAAAACCCAAACCCCGACAACCACGAGAGCCCTTCACCCTCAAATCAACCAAGCGTTGAAGCCGAGTCATTCACGGTTCCACACCATTCCCCTCTACCATGGCACGATGACCGAGGGTCATGCCCCATTGTCACCGGGCTAGATGTTTCACCCCAAACGCATCGCCTTGATGTCATTTTCATCGCAGGACACAACGGCAAGGCCCGCCTATGTTTAAGCAGCATCCTGCTTGCGGCATGCGGGCCATGTGAACCAGAAAGGGTTTGGATCCTTACAAGAATGTAACAACAACACGAGGCCCTTGGACATGTTCCAGCATGACGGCACAACAAAGTATGGCTGTCTCTGTCAATATACTTGCATGCGTACGGGTGTGCCTAACGGCCAGGAACTCATACGCTCCCCGAATCTTCCATGCACCATCGGTCCTGTTTTGAAGCCTTGACGTAGACCCCGCACTCCAACACTCGAAGCTGTGCACAAGTAACCCGAAATCCTATGAGGCCCAGCACGCTTCTCAGACTAGACAATTCACCGAGAAGCTTTAGTACAGGGGCCTTGGCAATTCGAATAGGGTCTCGGGCTATGATACTGCTACAACAAGACCATAGCTGCAGCAGGGACTGCAGGGGAATAATCTTTCAAGTTACTTATTTAGGCTCCGCTCCAAAAGTAGAGCTCAGGATAGGGGTGCAATGTCTGACCATGGAGGCCCACATGGCGCAGAGAGTGAAAACGGATAGGCCCTTTGGGCGAACATGAGTTGGAGGGGTTGTACCAAAAGACTCCCTTTTCGGGATCCTTCTTGCCATCAGCTCCTGTTCGTATACCCGAATGTAGAGCAACCCCCCCCAAGCGAAATCATTTCAACCCTAAACCCCGGGCCGATTTTGGAAGCACCGCCAGAGGCTGCCAGAATCATGTCAGTTAGGGTTACACTCTATGGCTGTGTGAGAGCTTGCTTCCGCAAGCTCTTAGCTTTATGGGTGCAGGACAATTACCCTAAGCCCTAAACCCCCGGCCCCAGGAATTCTGCGTGCGCGATCTGCCCTTGTCTGTCCGTTGAGAAAATACCCGGGGCCCCGAAATAAAGGAACCCAAGGCTGCCGGTCAATTGCGCGCTCAAGTCGAGCAGAGAGAACGATCTCCTTCAGGGTCCATCTTCCCCCCTTCCCTAAAACCCTGGATCCTAAACCCTAAACCCTAAATTCTCTCTCATGGGAGTTACACAAGCTGTCGGCAACATTGGCCAGAAGAGCAATAGTTTAACAATGCTCATGCTTTCATGGCTTTAATCAATGTAGAACTAGAGACCCTAGCGTTGTCATTCAGTTACAGAGTCATGGAATCATCGAGATCGACACCGACATATAACAGTTTTCTGTGAGAGCTTCGACTTCTGGTACTCTAGAGAGCCACTGATGAGGGGAGGGTCCTACTGTTGGGGCAAGAATCGAAATACTGCCAACAACGTGCCGTGACTCACTCTACACCCGAAAACACCCCAACCCTAAAGCCTAACTCACCCGAAACCTAAACCAACCATCCCGAGCTCCCTTCGTCTGCCTGCGGCGGCACCACAGGCTGATCCGGTCAACCCGATGTGCCTTGACGGGGGGAGGCGGAGGGAGAAAGATCATACAGGGGCCTCAAGAGGTGGACAGCAGTTTTGAAATATGTTCTACTAAACCAAATTGGAACCCTCAGGAACAGTATTGATAACTATTCGTGCCTCTAAAGTAGAAACAGAAAGCGGGACACTGCGACAAAAAGTCTAAGAGAGACAAAGAGAGAAATGGAGAGAGAGAGAGAGAGAGAGAGAGAGATAGAGATAGAGGGTATGGGAGCCAGAGAGGGAGGGCTTAGGGTTTGGCTTAATTCGCAGCTACTTGCTTAGACTGATCGGAGTTTCACTCGTATATATATATATATATATATATATATATATATATTACATACACATGTATATATGTATTATATACCTGTATCTACACAGACAGATAAACAATCAGACGCACAGGCAGAGAGACAAGCGGATGAAAAGAGAAGCACGTGACTACGAAACCGGCAGGAACATTGACAAGCAGACGGTACATTGGCCGAGCAGTTGGACATTAAACAAGCACTTGCACGGAAACTCACACAGTCGAGCATACACATACAAATGGGTACAGCCATACCGGAACTCTTATGCCGACTCATGCGCATAGATGTGCAGGAGCGTTTTTACGAGGGCACACCAGTAGCTGTGATTGATTTATGTAGGTGTGAGACTAGGAAGCTGTAGATGATTACGTATACGTGGCAGTAAGCATCAACCTTTCATTGCAAGAAGCCTAAGCATGGATGCCTCGAAGCATGTTTGCACGATATGTCCTGCGTCCGTGTGTGTGTGTGTGTGTGTGTGTGTGTGTGTGTGTGTGTAAGTGTGTGTGTGTGTGCCTGCACATCGTCAGGACGGAGAGGTGGCAAGCTAGCAAGGCAGGCGGAAAGCAGGAAGACAAATTGATAGATAGCCAGACAGATAGACGACCCTACATGGTTGGATAGATAGTAAGCGATTAAAACAGAAAGGAATATAGCTCGATGATCGGAACCATGGCGATGTAGAGATGGCTAGGCGGTTAGTTAGTTCGCTAGTTACATAGTTAGAACGATAGATGGTCAGGTGGCTAGGTATGTAACGAGTTCAATTGATCGATTGACAGACAGACGGACAGACGGACAGACAGGCAGGCAGACGGACAGACAGACGGAACCAGATCTGTGATGTGTATATGTCACATGCACACATAATATCTATCTACATATATATGTGTGTATATATATATACACATACCGGTAGAGAGGTGGATAGATAGACAGATAAACAGATCAATTGATAAACACATGGATGGATGGATGGATGGATGGATGGATGGATGGAGGGAGGGAGGGAGGGAGGGAGGGACGGATGGATGGATGGATGGATGGATGGATGAGTGGAGAGGGGATAGATGACGATAGACGGACGAAAAGATGCAAATACCGCTGCAACTCTGCACTAGCAGAATATGCGCACACGTGCAAACGCCGAACCGTGACGGTAGCTTTAGTGGGCGTAGACAATTGACCCAAGTTGGATTCCTGAGACCCTCAGCTCAAGGTTTTGGAAAGCGGAAGTGATTGCAACCTTCAATTAATCCATCGGTCGGGAAGAGGACGCCTAGAAGGTTGCGGTTCGGGACCCAGGGTTCAACACAATTTAGGCCGCATGCAGTAAACCCGAAACACCACCCCCCGTCATCCTCTAAGCCCTAAACGAAGCAATCTAGCTAGAGTCTCCATTTTACTTATTCTTTGGGGTTACCTTAAAGGAGCCTACATGTATAATTGGCTAACTACAAAGGAGACTAGAGGTATGTATATATATATATATATATATATATATATATATCAGCGCCACGGTGCGGAGCGTCTCGACATCCGCAGGCTTGTTCGGGACAGCAAACTGGACCTTGAAGATTTGCGGGCTGAGATGTGGGCTGAAGCCCTAAACCCAAACCTGAAACGCCAAACACAGGCCTCGTGCCACAAGAAGTGTGAATTAAGGCCGTCAGCCGAGTCCCAAAACACTTGGTTTAAGGCTTATAGGGTTTATAGGGGCCATATAGGAGCAAGATTTGATTCCAGATTTAGGGTTCAGGCGCCAGTTGAAAAGCCAGAAGTACAAAGCAAGAGTGTAATCCTGTGTACATTGCATAAACAATCAGTGCTACGAAGCCCGGCCTAACCTCTCTTGGGTTCTCAATCCAAAGCTGATGTACCAAATCCTTAGGCCGGCTGTGGACACTGAGGCATCAGTTTGTCTGAGAACATCTTGTGATAGAGTCGCAGACAACCTGACATCCAAACGTGGCACGTCAAGTGCTTCTCCTGAATCTTGAGCTTCTTCCTCCTAGTAGTTACTCAGGGGCTGCGCCCGGATCCTCACCAGGCTGGCACAGCGGTACAATCAGGGATCCATGGCAACCCGGCATCATTAATTATCCATTCGGCCACTGAAGCAAATTCTGACGCGCCCGCAGATGATCTCCGAGTATCACTGTAGCAGCATACGAACCCTCGACGCCAGCATTGACATCGCTGCCCTAAGACGATTCCTCGAATGCTTCCATCATCTCAACCGAAAGTCACACGACTAGCTAAGATCGGCAGGCTCTCTCTATTTCACTCTATCTCTCTCTCTCTCTCGCTCTCTTTGTCTCTCTCTGGCACTGTATCTGTCACTGTCTGTACACATGACTCAAGCGCAGCCTGGCAAATTTGCGGCCCTCCCATACACAATCCCAACACTACGTTATTCCGAGCTTATTCCTTAAGCCCGCCCAAACCCCAAAGAAGCCCAGCCTACCCGACGCTCTAAAACCTCAAAGGCATCAAGAGTGGGATGAAGCAGCTAGGTGGGGCCATCCCAAAATCGCGTCCTCATAAGCCTAAACCCTAAACCTCACCATATCCCGATACAAACTACATGTTTCAAGGATTCCATATTATATTATGATGTGCTTACAGAAGCAAACCCTTAAAGATCAAGGTTTCAAGAGCTTAAGGCAAACCCTATATGCCCCTGGAAAGTTCAGGCCAGGGCTTCTTTGGTCGACTGCCCCGGTTTGCTTCCGGGATCCTGTCCAACGCCCAGGCTTTCACAGCTTTCTTCCTGGGGCTACAGGGCTACAGGGTTTAAGGTTCAGGGGTTTGGGGTTCAGGGGTTTGAGACAAAGGCCTACAGCATGAATCCTGGGTTGAAGGGTAATTATGCAGAAGGGAATGCATGCCCAGCGTTGATCTTCGCGGCTGCAAATCTCACACACCCAGCCCTGGAAGCCAGGTTGCATATACAGTGGTTTGATTACTATACTTATAGACTTGTATATATATATATACATATGTTATATGTATGGGTAATTGTACGTCTATGTATGCTGCCGCACAGTAGCGTTCTACAAAGGTAACCTCGGCTTCTCGAGAATCGGTCACCTCGCACGACTTCTTACGTCCTCAACATGCCAGAGAAACAACAAGTTGAAGTTTCAGATTACTACTAAGACGTAAGAACCCACAAAGTTTCAAGGTTGGGTATTAGAGAACTAAGACTTCGACCTCAGCTTGGCGACCGATGTAAGATCGCTGCCTGAAACCACACCCTCCGATACAACGACCGCTTTCTGTTGGATCGCGGGTTGGGTCTAGGGTTTGGGGCTCAGGGTTTAGGGCTCTGCTATTACAGTTATTTTAAGGTTCCAGTTCAACATGTGCGATTCAGGCTCTACCTCGACACACAGTAGTAGCGCAGTTAGCTAAGAAAAACTAACTGTCTCTGATCCTTTTGTATGCAAGCCTCCATACTACAGCTAACTGGCTTCTGAAAACCACCTGGACAAGAAGCAGCCCTCAACAAATCAACAGGTAGCTTGGTCAGCGTCCAGTGGCGTCCAGGTAAACACTACTAGAACCCAACCTGGACAACTAGGGACCCTGAACACTAGACCCCTAAACGTTTCGCCCTGAACCCTAAACCCTACACCAAAATTTCGAGCCTCCCCTAACCTCTTCGCAGCAGCGGCATAGAGATGCCTTTTGAAACCAGGGAGAACGCCAAGGCGCTCCTTCGCACTGTGCAGACGTGCCTTTAGGTTCAGGGCGTTTTGGGGTTTAGGTCGTGAGGCGGTAGGGTTTGAAGGTTTAGGATTTTCGGATTAAGGGTTTTCGGGTTCGAGGTTTCAGCGCTGCGAGCTATGCAGACAGCACCCTGAATGCACTGCGAATGCCAAACGGAAAGCAACGAACAATCTATAACCTTCCAGCTGTGTCTGCGTCTCACACCAGCAAAGAGCAACAAACTTTTCATGTGGGAGTATAGTAACGTATCATGATTCTTGCCCCATGTCGACCCCAGCGCTAGACTAGCTAGACCTTTTGGTTACATTTTTTGAGGCCTTAATCATTAGACTAGGGTTTTGGGGCCCATTCTACGATTACTATACTAAGGAACCCCTCAAAATAGTATTGGTAATTGTTGAGGCCCCTATACTAAATCCTCATGATATCTTTTCTACTAATCCTTACAGACCCCTTTAAAGGAACTCCAAAGACTAGTGATGGCAATTATTAAGGCCCCTATAGCATAGATTCAGGCTCAAGGCCCGAAGGACGCCCACTGCTGGGATGGATATGCCTGACCATGGGCACTTCACTCTCGGTTTAGGGTTTAAGCTTTTTTTATTTGTTTAAGCTCCTTTTTAATGTCTGCCCATACCTCTGAGCGTTGAGTTTAGGGCTTAGGGTTTTGGGTTTAGGGCCTAGGATTTTGGGTTTAGGGCTTAGGGTTTTGGGTTCAGGAGGATCAGATTCGAAAGTGCCTTGTAACCCTGAACTCCTGAAGTACAAAACGAAACCAGTTTAACCCCAATCCCTCACATCCGACACCGGAGTTTAGGGTGCTGTCATCTGCATAGCAACTGAAGGTGTTCTTTGCCCCAAAACCCTTCGTGCAAAAAGCAAGACTGAACCAAACCAGTCACCCCAAACCCCGAAGCCAGAAAAACCTTCAACCCCTAACCTCCAACTCCCGTGCTCCTCACTTGCCGATAGTGGACGATCCTCTGGAGGACCTAAAGGACCAGTGACACGACGAGCTGGAGGGTTTCGGTCTTGAGAAGCTTAGAATGCAGGGCTTTAGTTAGGGTTTAAGGAAGGTTTAGGGTTTAGGGCTTTGGTTTTCGACCTGAAAACAGAAGAAGCTATCATTCACGGATGTTCGGGGCACGCCTACAGGAACTAACAGTACCTTCTGCCTCTTGTATATCTTGGTTGAGGGTTTAGGGTTTCTTTAAGGACTTAGGGTATTATGCAGGCTGCTCCCAGAAGGCTTTGTAAGTGGTTACAGTAGCGTGATGATGGGGACCAGGATGCCCTGAGAGGGCAATATCCGGCAATTGCGCAACATACTTTTAACAGTTAACGATAGAAAGGAGCCCTGCAAAAGTGTGAGGAAGGATTCATATCCTTATAGTACCCTTGTAGGAGTTCTAAGACGAACAGTTGTAGGATTCCTGAAGAGGAACCCTGATGACATTAGTATAGGAACTTTAGTAATTAGAATACGGATTTGGGGCCATTATACTATAATTACGATAAGGAGCCACCAAAATAGTAGAGGTAATGATTAAGGTTCACAGGTTATTCGGGTCGCTGCTGCCCCCTGAGAGATGGACATCTCGGTGGACTGGTAGGGGATCCCGGTGGCGATGCATCAGACGCTCCCGAAGATTCCTCCCCGGAACAGCGCATGCAAAGCCAAGAGTGCTTACTTCGAAGCTGATCATGAAGATGACGATGGCGCGCAACATAGAAGTGGAGATGAAGCTGTTTCTGAGAATGGTGATGGTTCTGCAGATGGATATCAGCCGATGAGGACAATCACGATGAACACGGCAACGGCCATTATGTGCTGTTGGCACGGAGGGTGCAGATGACGATGAGGACGGCGATCATGATTCAATGACAATGATGAGGAGGAGGAGGAGGATGAGAATGACGATGATGATGATGCTGATGATGATGATGATGATGATGATAAGCTTCAATGTTGATGATGATGAGGAGGGGCAGGTGGATCAGGATGGCGATGATGATGATGATCAAAGTCGTTGTGACGCCGCTGGTGCAAACAATACAGGCAAAATGGTGATGATCCTGATGAGGCTACGACACCAGTCACGGTGACAGCGGACATGATGGACATGATCGTGAAGCTGATGGGCTTTGACATGATGGAGAGGATGCTTGCTGATATTGCGCTGGGTGATGATGATGGCCATGACGGAAGTGATGTTTTGCAGGAACCATCAGTCTTAGCACCGGCAGCTGCTGCACTGAGAATCTTCGTCAACAGATTCATCTCCATGGTGGCCGGCGGGCGGGCGGGCGGCGGGGGGCGGGGGCGGGCGGGCGGGCGGGCGGGCGGGCGGGCGGGGGGGCGCGACTATAGTATACGGGTACCAACATCATCAAGAGACTTCGCGAGAACATCAGTCACGAAATGCGCCTGCCTGCAGTGCCTTCGGCACCAAAGGCGGTTCTGGACGCTCTTGCAGCGGCGCCTCCGGACGGACTGGTGTTTCGGTATACCTCGTTCATGGCCAAAGCTGGTGTCCTGCTAAGATTGTGCGTGTGGCCTAAGTTAAGATATAGATGTTAGTAACCCCCTTATAACCTCCCTGTAACCCCCTCCATGTAGTAAGTCCCTACTAACTTGGGGGAAGTTAGTAGAAGGTTGGTTGGAAGAAACAGAAGTTATTAACTTAAGTTAACTTTTTAGCTAACTTCTTCAAACTTGTGTTAACTTATGTTAACTTATTCTAACTTTGTTTGTTTTATGTCGGTTTTGTGTTAAATGGTTTTCGTTGTTTGTCACTGATGCTGTTCTTTTCTGTGCTCCACAAAGATAAGAGCAGATGCTATGGGCTTAGAGGGTTCAGGTGTTTAGGACCACCACCACCACCACCAGCACCTGCACCAGCATCAGCACCACCACCAGGGTTATAGGGTTTAGGGGGTATAGGGTACGGTGTGGAGTGTAGAAACACTATCACCACAGCCTTCACCAACACCAAGACCACCGCCGCCGCCACCACCACAACAACAGCAGCAACAACAGCAACCACCACGACAACAACAGCACCAGCACCACCAGCACCAGCACCACCACCAACAGCAACAACACATGTCTAGGATGTTAGGAACACCACTAGCGCATGTTTAGAGTTCAGGGGTTTAGGTGCTTGGGTTTGAGGTGTAGGGCTTGGGAAACCTCCGCCAGCACCACCGCCAGCGCCAGCACCAGCCCCAGCGCTAGCGGAAGTGCCAGCACCAGCACCAGCACCCACCAGCACCAGCACCAGCACCTAGCACCTAGACCAGCACCAGCACCACCGCCGCCGCCGCCCCCACCACCAGCACCACCACCACAGCAGCACCACCAGCACCAGCAGCACCAGCACCACCGACACCACCATCAGCAACCCCCACCGCCCGCGCCACCCGCCAGCACCACCCCCGAGTTCATACAGCCAGGAACCAGGCCGGATAAGTTCAGAAAAAGTTCATATTTCCAGGCCTGAAAAGTTCATAAAAAGTTCATATTTCGTGGCCTGAAAAGTTCATAAAAAGTTCATATTTCGAGGCCCGAAAAGTTCATAAAAAGTTCATATTTCCAGGCCGGAAAAGTTCATATTTTTAGTGTTTTATTGGTATTTACAATGAATCCAAGCCTGAAAAGTTCATATTGCGAGGCCTGAAAAATTCATAAAAAGTTCATATTTCGAGGCCTGAAAAGTTCATAAAAAGTTCATATTTCGAGGCTTGTAAAGTTCATAAAAAGTTCATATTTCCAGGGCTGAAAAGTTCATAAAAAAGTTCATATTTCCAGGCCTGAAAAGTTCATAAAAAGTTCATGGCTGGCACTCCACCCCTGGTTCGCCCCACCACCACCACACCACCCCACCACCTACCACCCTACCACCCCACCACCCACACCACCCCCACCACCCCACCACCCCACAACCCCCCACACCACCACCACCCCACCACCCCCCACCACCCCACGACTCCCACACCACCACCCCACCCCAGCCCGCCCTTACACCCCACCACCCCACCCACCCCACACTTTACCGCACCTCCCGCCCCACCACCCCACTACCTACCGGTGCGTGGGGAGGTGGGTGGTGGTTGGTGGGGTGGGTGGTGGGTGGTGGGTGGTGGGTGGTGGGTGGTGGGTGGTGGGTGGTGGGTGGTGGGTGGTGGGTGGTGGGTGGTGGGTGGTGGGTGGTGGGTGGTGGGTGGTGGGTGGTGGGCGGTGTGGTGGGTGGCGGGTGGCGTGGGTGGTGGCTGGTGCAGCGCCTAAAATTTCTAAGGATCCCCCAATCAGCTGCGTGCAAAGTTTTTCTGGGAATGGATTTGTGAACCGCATTTTGGTGCGGGTGGTGGGTGGTGGTTGGTGGGTGGTTGGTGGTGGCTGGCGATGGCCACCACCTCACCACCCGCTACCACCACCCACGACCCCGCCACCCCATCGTTGTTTCTTTTAACCCACAAATTCACTTTTGCTAACTTATGTTAACTTTCTTTAACTTATGCTAACTTTTTATCTAACTTACCTAACCCCCTAGTAACATCTATATCTTAACTTAAGCCAAACGCACAATCTTAGTGATGCTGTGGGGTGCGACAACCATGTCCAAGCTTGCCTGATTTGCCGGGGCCCTAAACTTGAGAAAAAAAGATTTCAAGCCGGGAGATTGAGCGAAATCTGACCACGCGGTTGAGAGTGTTCTTCGGTCTTTCAAGAGCCTGTCTTACCTGCGGAGTGCGACTTAGCAACTCACTTCTATTGAATTACTCATACTGCTCCAATGTTGAGGCCCCTTTATCCCCTTGGGAAATCTTTCGGGGCCTCGGCTTCCGAAACTCCCGAGCTCAGGGACGACCTCGGCGTTTTGACTGGGAACGGCCCTCCACAGAGTCTTGTCTTGAGGGGTACAGGCTAGGGGTAAAATGAATGCTTTGACTGAAAGTTTTATAGGAAGGCATTATTCTGTGTCTCGGGTTTTATGGGGTTTCGGGCTTGTTGCAGGGGGTTAAGAGGGTTCAGGTGTGGTGGTTAGAAGGTTTACGGTTTCAAAATTGGAGCCTAGTGGCATGCAAGAGAATCATCAACCAGCAAACTGGCTGTGGATAAGTTTATAAAAACAAGTTTTCGAGCTCAACGGGCATAGTCGCATTAGGCTGATTTCTTTTTTTTTTGTAATTTGGGAGGGTCCTAAAGTGCCATGCAAGGTATCCTGTCTAACGTCTTCCAATAAGTCAAGCTGTCGAAAGCATTTACTAGGATCACCTTCCCTTTCTGGGTATTTCTCTTGTCGTCATTCAGGCTCTCTCTTTCTCTCTCTGTGTCTCTGGCTGTGTCTCTCCCTCGCGCCCGTCCGACGGGTAGGTGTGTGTGTATATATATATATATGTACATATGCATACATACATATATATGTATATATGCACGCACATATCTGTGTATGCGTGCATACATGTAAGTGCATACCCCCATGTATGAATGTGTGTACAAACACAAATGTCGAAGAAGCAGGCGAGAGAGAGCGAGAGAGACAAATACAGAGACAGATCCTGTGACAGAAATTAATTTCAGCTACCATAAGAGGGATTATAGTAAATAATATGGTTTCCTTATTCTGGTGACCTATATTCAGTCCCTGGAGAGAAAGACAAACAAACGGAGTGAGAGATCTCGATTGGATAGGAAATGATAGCAAGGATTTCAAATACATCTCCAGCCGAAGACACAGTCTGGATTAAGGGGTCTACATGAAGATCCCCTGCTGGCTTCTTGTGCGAGTAGCATCAAGGCGTTGCTATCTCCCCAGCCCAACACGGACATCGATTTCCCCAAAGTCCTGCTCCGCCTACTCTGAAAAATACCCAGACTCCTAATCCACAATTCCGAACCTCAAAACACCCAAGGTACCCAAAAATCCTAAGCGGAAAACACGACCTGAACCCTGAATTGCGAAGCAACCGCCCAAAAATCTCGAAGCAAAGGCACAGCCAGCGCTCGAACCTGGGACGGCCACGGTGGGTTATGATTGGAAACGAAGAAATCTATATCGTGGATTGTGGCCCCAGGGCAGATATACAGCCAGCCCTACAACAACTGTAGCGTGGTCGCCCAGTTTTTTGCATAGCTACCAGGATTTCTAGGGCTACATAAGCGAAGTTCCGTTCCAGGGGTAAGCTTAGAATGAGCTGATTCTCTATCACGGCCAATGCAACTCAAGTGTTCCTGATATTCGGTGATTCTAATATTGTCCGTCACACTATGACCTGAAACCCTAAACTGTCTCTCGACCATGCAGCCTGGAGCCCCTTGTTTGCACTCGTATGATGTTGTTGCTGTTGCTGCTTTTGCGGCTAAACACAGGTGCTGCAACATCCCAGATCGCAAACTCTCTCCGCCAAAGCCCATATCCTGAACCCAATACGCTACACGCTGGCATCTTGCGAAACTGCAAAAAACGTCAAATGCTTCCAGGGACCTCAACTGCTTTTCTGCGAGGGCAGAGCGGAGATGGGCTAGCTGCAACTTCTCCGATGGAAGTACCTCAGGCCAAATAGCCTGCCTTTCAAGGACTATGAGGACATCATGTTAAGGGGCCCTAAAAAATCCCTTAACGCTAAACCTTTTGAAACGCTAGGTTAATTCGGGTCCAGGTACCTCAGAGTCTGCCCTGTTGCTGCTCCTTCCGCATGGTATGGTTTTAAATCTAAGAGCGTGCTTGTTAGGCGTCTGAACATGTCTCGGTGACTGCCCATCCAGGATGTAATCCGAACCCACAGCTGTCAACCCTGAGCATTCCTGCTGAAATCTCAAAGCTTGCACCGTACGTGTAACAACTTGAAAACAGGCTTTGTCACAGTCCACAGGCGGGTGCATACCTCCTTTACTACCACCCAATGACACCGTGAAGAAATCCAGGCCCTCAACCCTACACAGTATACCGCAAAGCAATCAGGGCTTGAGACTTGGCTTCCGTTGTGTCCAGCGCTGCCGTTGGTGATTGAATTGTATGGATGGAAACTTGCTTCTGCGGCTCTGTCGGGATTCCCGGTGCCGTTGAATTTGGTCTCAAGGCTCATAAGGTTTGCCTTGACCTCTACGCCGGATCGGCAGCCGCTTTGTGCCGCCCACTGGTCGTCAGAGGCATGCAGTCGAGGCACATCCCTCAGTTGCAGGCGGGGTCGTCTACGAGTGCATGAAGCCAACTTTAGAAGTGAATAATATCACTGGTATCACTATAAAAACCTTTCGATTCTGCCAAGACTGTCTGCATCAACAACATTTTGTAAAAGTTGCTACGGCTGATGCATGCGACTGATACTCCCATCACGGCTATTGAAGCATGCATGGCAGTATGTAGACCAATCTGCTCAACTGCGAATGGGCCCAAACCCTAGCTTTCGTCATGCTGGTTCACTTTTAAAGCGTACTCACAGAACATCTCAGGCTAGGGAGGGGCCAAATCGCAGTACCCAGTTGGCAGGGCCCAGCATCGAAAGAGAACTCACAAAGAACCCTAAATCATAATCGCCAAACAAGGCCACCCTATGTCTTCAGCGAACCTGACGGCAGCCTTCAGCACAACAGCTTTCTTCTGGTGTTACACAGAATGACGCATGATTTCAAGATAGATCCTGATAGACATCAGCAAACACGAAAGACATGAGGCAATGTAATACGGCAACCCCACAAAGAACATGATGTAGTACGTATACTCTACTAGGATCCTACACTGTAGACCGAATTCGCAGCGAGAATCGGTTCGAGGGCTCGGGCACGCTGTGCTGCAGACTTCAGCTGCCCTCGACAGGACATTGCTCGCCTGTTGCTGCTTGTAGCACAGTGCTTTCTTTGTGAGGTGCAAACATATCTCATCTTCCACTTACTACGCGAACCAACTTAATGGTTGTGGCCTGGCTTTCATTAGTCTTTGGATGTTGTTAGTGGAAGCCTATGTGGCTGAGAGGTGAGGTCCAAAGCAGGAGATCTTCACGGCGACGACAGTGTGACGGGTAAGACGCTCGGGCACACCCAAAAGGTCTTTCAGTTTTAGGCTTATAGGGTTTGAGGGTTTATTTGCCGGGTTTAGTGCCTTTTTGGCTTAGGGTTCGGGTTGACAGCTGAATTGGAGATGGTGTGACGCCTCCCCCTCCATCATCAAGCCTGAGGGCCAAGGCCGATGCAGAAACCCTAAACCACAAACCCTAAAGTCCACGCCTCAACCTTGCGCCCACAGGTGCTGCTGGTGATAATGCCAAAAACCAAGACGAAACGCCAGCAACAGCAACAGCCACACCGCCACCACACACCACCACAGCCAGCAACAGCAGCAGCGGTAGCAGCAACAAGAGCAAGAATGACAATGCTAAAGCCCGCCAGAAAGAAATGTTTCCTCGAACCAAGAGCACTTGAGAAAGAGCCAACAAGGGTGCTGTGTCTATGCGTGGCAGCAAAAGTACTAGCAAAGGTCACAACCTTAGTGGTAGGCATTACGCGGGCAGCCCCCACAGCAATGACAAGTAAGCTAAACACAGACACGATGCAAATAAAAAGCTGGCAATACTGATTCAAACAAGCTTGAGACTTCAGCCAAACCACTGAACATACTACAGCACTATGTCACTATGTTTCCACTGTCGGCCTGGAGAGCTCTTCCGGGTTGCAGCCGAAGCCAAAGCAAGGGCGCCCAGGAGAGTTCCCCATCAGGGGTCCTTGGTGGCTTTGGGTCTTAAATGAGTTGAGGGGTTTAGGATCTTAAGGGCTGCAGCATGCGGTTTAGGGTCGAATGACGTTACGATGCCTGTAAGTTGTGGCAACGGGGAGAGAGGGTGGTTTAGGGCATGTGAGATCGGAAGGGTGCGTTTGGACGTTAGGGCCTGGGGTCTGAGAGGTCTTGGGGCCGTTTCCAACCAAAGGATTTGAACGATTCCTTAATCCTGAATAACCTACCTTTCTAGCGGTTAAAGTTAAGGCTTTAGGGTTTAAGGTTTAGATTAAAGCCCGTGGCGTCCAGCCGATCCAAGCAGCTTGAGCAGGAAGTCTCGAGCCCCTGCACCTCGCCCTCCACCTGCCAACCCATGCCTAGTGGGTCGCTGTACCTATATAATGGTAGCGTAAGAACCCATAACGTGGGTAAGTGGGGTAGCTAATGAGATTGCGCAGCGGTTTCAGGCTCATAAGTTGCCGGGTATTCTGTACCAAAATGGATACTAGGTCGCCTCACCGTCCGAACGGAGGTGTGTGACCACATAGGCCAGGATCATGCACCATGACCCAAGAGTCATGCAGGGAGCGAGGCAACAGAGACGGCGGGGTGCACGAGCCGAACTAGGGCTTGTGGTGGTCTCTAAACTTTTGAGTTTAATAGGGTCTTCGGATTTACCGTTTCGTTGTTAAAAATCCTACAGGAACTAAACATTGACCTTTGGGTTTAGAAGTTTAGAAAAGGATTGCCATACCGCCAAACGGTTGCCTGCTCTACTGCGAAGTTAGCGCTCAGGCCTTGGAATTTAGGATTCAGACGTGGCATCAAAGCCCGGAAAGCCCAAACCCTCTCGCAAACCACTCCAAGCCCAAAGTCCTCAGGGTTGAGAGGGGTTCTGGGTTTGGGGGGTGGAGGGTTTAGGGCATAGGGGTTTAAGGCTTAGGCGCTTAGGGTTTGGAGTTCAGGGTTTAATTAGGGTCCTGATAGCACGAATTCGAACCCCGACTGTCGTGTTGATCAGATTCAATAAAAGCCGCTGCAAACGCCAACAAAACTAGAACCCTAAGACCCCTTTGACCCTAAAGCCCACAAACCCCAAACCCCGTAGACTAAACCCCGAAACCCTAAACCCTACAGCAAACCCTAGACCTGAACCCCGCCAACCCTACTGTGCATGCTTCCAGCTAGCTTGGCCTCGGCCACCAGAAGCTCCAACCTTCGGCAGTATGCCACGAAACCCTGATAGATATAGGTATAGGCATACATGTGTAGACTTTTATATATATATATATATATATATATATATATATGCAGGCATGCATGGATCGAGGAATCGATAGATCGATGGATTGATGAATGGATGGATGGATGGAGAGATGGAGAGATGGAGGGACTTAAATATGCATGTATGTACACATGCATGCATGCAAGTGTGTATGTCCTTGTACGTATAAAAAACATTTCTACATATGTATGTATATATATATATATACACATACGCATGCATGTGTATGTGCTTGTGCGTGTATATGCATAGTGTTGTTGTTAGTACTGCTGTTACCGATGGGAGCAAATATAGACACTATCACATCTAAAAGTGCGTACACAGATATGCTGGATGTATGCTCATAGGTGCTTGGCGTATCCAATTATTAAACTTTGGGTGGTTAGGTTCGGGGGATGTCTGCTCAAGACGTGGGGCTGTCAGAGTTTAAGCTTAGCATGTCGGGTCTTAATAAGTAGAAAGGGTACAATAAGGAGCCCCCAAAATACTATCCGTAATTATTGAGGCCCCTATTTGTAGGTCTTGGAGTCTTCGACTACGAGGGCTCAGGTTCAACTTTCCAAACAATGCATGTCAGTCTGCGAGTCCTTCCCAAATCCAGCTGCCTGCTCTGTATCCATGCACCTACATATACCGAACAGGCTTCTTAAGGGTTTAGGGTACAGGGTGTACTATATGGGTTATTACATGGACCCCCAAGGGTATTGAAGCAGAGCCGCTCCGCTAAAGCTAGCCGGGATGATGGTGAGCCGAAGGTAGCAGCACCAACGCCGAAGGAAGCAGTTCGGGAGACATCTGCGTTGCCACGAAGCGTCCTGGATATATAGTTGATCGTCTACTAAGTTCAAAAACGGGCTTTTGGTTTTCTTATTCTGGTATGTTAAGGCATAACTACACCAGGGAAAGATGTTGGTGGTCATCCCAACAAGGCCAGGCAAATGCGAGCGCTGACCAATTTTACCAACTTCCCTTGTCATGAGCTCCTCAGCCCTAAACCCCTGAACCCTAAATCCAAAGCCCCTTAAACCCTTAAACCCTAGTCTTCCTAAACTTCCTAAATCCTACAACCCGAAAATCCAAAGCCCTTGGTTGAACTGTCGGGGATCTACTCGCGTGATGCGGGGTTGACAGCACGAGGTGACGGTCTGCGGCATGAACCCTCAATGAAAATTTAGGCTTTATAGGGTTTATGGCTTGGGGTTTAGGGTTTCGGTTTTCCTACACCTTTTACCATTCATCCAAGTTTGTGGGCGTGTAGGATTCAGGCTCATCTCCCACCATTATGAATCTAACAAAGCCATACACTTCCTCTTGGTTTCGGAGACCACAATCCAGCAATAAAGGTAGAAGCTACGGAACATCGGGATGACCTTCACCGTAAGACACCAAAACTCGCCGCGTGACTTATCCTGTGTACTTTGGGCCCCAGGGAATCACACGTGCTGGAACCTCTCACTGACATCCTCCTTGTACGACCCTTGCTAGACTTTTCCGCAAACCTTAATGAGGGGCCTTGGATTGAGCGACAATGGATTCTGGGCCTGGATGCAGCCAAGGCCATCACATCAGATGCTTGGTAGCTCAGCGACCCAGCTTAGGGTTTAGGCGGCCAGGGTGAAATGCACTTGTCACGAAGCAAAACCTTATTACCAAGTCCCATGATCCCCCATGTGCCCAGAAACTCCAATGCCGTACCTACATATGGAACCACAATCGCTACTATGTCGTTTAATCAGTAGTCTTCCAAATCTACCTTACAAGACGTTGGGATTTCCGGATATAGTCAAGACACCTGCTTTCAGGCGTGGACCGCATGCTGCCCAGCGTGACCGGCGTAGCGGTGGAAGCGCCCGGCGTAGCAACACTGAGTTCATCCTCAGATTGGAACCCCAAACCCTATAAACCCTAAACCCACCCTGCAGCCCGAAAAAGCGTCGTCGGAGATATGTAGGCTTTGTAGGCTTTACGACAGATTATTTTCTGAGTCAGGAGTTGCCCAGCAGTTAGAATCAGCGAACTTTTGTTATTCAGGATATTCGGGACACCCTAAACCAGACCCTAAAGCGTCTGAGGTTTGATTTTGGAGAGATAAACGGCTTCCACACCTTCGGGCCTTTGGGATCCGCTTTCAGGTTTAGGGTTTTTTGGGTTTAGGGGTTTAGGTTTAGGGGAGTTTAAGCTCTTGTTTCTTTGGATTTGGGGCTTGGTGCTCTGGCTTTGGCTGCCTTGTAATCTTGAGAAACCTCCCAAGTGTCTACAGCACGCCCCACCCACGCTGTCTTTTGCTGAGGCGTGATCAAGCCTTAAAACGAAAGACCCGCAACGCCCACTGTTTTTTTTTTTTGCTGAGACGTGATCAAGCCTTAACATATGAAACACCAACAAGCGTGAAGACCTACACCCTGCACCCTTAACCCTCACTGCCCGCTCTATTGTTGTGGACAGAGGGTGGGCCTGCCGTCAACAACAAAGGCCTACATCTAAAAGATCCTGCACCCACAAGGCCTACCCCCAAAGCCGCGGTAGCACCGCTTGTGGGAGACAGACAGAACCTTTGGTCTTCGAAACGGTGCCTTTCATTGTTAAACAGATACAAACAGACATGAACAAACCCGAGAAACACAGCAATAGCAAGAGCCATCACACTTTCTCACGGTTTCACGGAAGCGAGAGTCTCGGTGTCTAAAATTTCAAACGATCAACTCTGACTCACAGTTGTGCTGGTTGGTCCTGCCAAACAGCATCGCAAATCTTTCGAGAGGAGTAGATAGTAAGGGGTCTACCTGCCTTGGCTCGTGACTCCAAGGGACGGCGAAAAATGCAGCACGCTTCGGCGATGACGCGTAGGGGGATCGGTCCGTCACGACTGCCTGGGTGCACATGGCGTTAGGGATGCATGTGTATATGTATTTGTATATGCATATACATATATATATATATAGAGAGAGAGAGGTATATTGTCTATATACACACATATTATGAACATATGTTTTACAGGAAGACAAAGAGGTAACCAAAAAAGCAACAGTTACGGGTTGCCTAGAGTTGAAACCCAAACCCCCGTGCACCCGAGGCGACCCCCGAAGCAAAAGCTAGAGCCGCAGACAATGGAAGCCTTACCCTAAGGCTCAAGATGGAACGAATGCCTTTTAAATATGGCCCAAAAGCCTTATATAATATGGTCTTTAAGCCCAAAAGCCTTAAGATGTAAGTCCTTAGAGCCGTAGGGTTGGACATGTGTCCAGAGTTCCCTACATCTTGGACAATCGCGAACAAAGAAAACCAGCCAGACAGGGACGAGGGTGAGTTTTGTTCCTAGGATCTAAGGCTCCAGGGTAGGGTTTGCAAATGAAGGAATGTGGGCAAACATGGGCCTAGGCTTAGCGGTTGTTAAGTTAGGACCACTACTTTCAGGAACCCTTTCGTCATAGGATCTGCTCTGCAAGGAGCTCGGAACCAATCGACCCAAAAGGACCGAACTCGCTGTAGGGTTTAAGGTTTAGGGGTTTAGGCGGTTGGGGCTTTGGGGTTTAGACCCTGAACTAATCTGACAGGAACCTTGTTCAGGGGCCCTTATCGCCCACTTTAGGATGAACGAAGGGGTTCCTGTATCCTGCATCTTCATCCCTAAACCCTACACCGACTGAAACGGATGTATCAAATATATCCATAGCAAGACACCTCAAAAGCCCCAAACCCCAAACTCTAAACCCTGAAGAACCCTAATACTAGGCCTTGATAATTAGAATGGGGTTTTGGGGCCCGTGATTACAAATATACAAGGGGACTCCAAAATAGTATCGGTAATTATTTAGGCGCCCATAGTAAACGATCCTCTGCTCTCGTGCTGACAGGGGAACCTGAGGATGGCTGCTGCCTCCGCGTCGGCCGCTGCCACATGGCAGCTGCGGTTGGCCAAAGTCCTCCGACCTCCACTCCCCGAAACCTCAAAACCTAAATCCTAAACCCTAAAACCCTGAAACCCTGAAACCCTAAACCTTGAAACCCTCAAGCCCTAAACTCTAAAACCCTCAAAAAGGTCCATGTACCTGAATAGTGTATACTTCGGCTCTAGAGTTGTCCCTACTAGGTAGGTACTTTGTGGCCAAAGCATATACAATTTGGGTACATCGACCCTTGAGGAAAACGGTATTATACCATTGTCAGAGTACTCGTGAGTCCTTAAACAGAATGCTCAGTCGGAACTTTCGACCCTTCTAAACCCTTAACTTAACCCTAACCTTAAAAACTAAGCCCTTTACCCGGATGGTGAATTGCGGATACATTAGAGGGTAGTTAGGGGGTCTAGGTTTACAGGCACCCTTTAGAAGAGCTCCTAAAGCTGCCGTGCCCAGCGTCACTTCCGCATGCGCCGCGTTTCTCGCGATCCTCGGCCTCGACACATCCCGGCAAAAAGGGGTTTAGGGCTGAGGGTTCTACCAGCCTGAAACTCTAAGACTTTCTTGGGCTTGGGGCTGATAGGGACGGTTTGGGGCTTTCAAGGTTTTTTGTGGAGGCCCCTCAGGAACTAAACAAAACACTAGGTAAAAGGTCTCGCAAGGTCCTATGAAGTTTTATACTTGATTGAGGGGTTTTAGCCGAAGGCCCTGCGTCAATAGAGTTAAGGAGACGGGATTTTGAACACGTTGTTGCCCTAACTCCTACACCCCTCCCTACCCCGTAACCCGGAACCCCAAAACCCTCAACCCTAAACCCTAAAACCCAAAAACCCAAACACCCTAAACCCTGTCACGGTCTTGAGCCCCAAAATCCATCGAAGCCCTCGGCCACCTCGGGGAGGCGGCAATGAGATCCATGTTGCTGAAGAGCTGCTCTGAAACGGTCCTTCTGGGGTTTCGGGTTTAGGGTTAAGGCTGCTCTGAAACGGTCCTTCGGATAATTGGGACTTCGGGTTTGGAGCTGTTTTAAGGCCTCTTTTTCCGACTGTATGGGTTTGGAGTTTAGAGTTTAGGGCTTGGGTTCGGGGGTTTGGGGTTTAGGGCTTTAGGTTTCGGGGTTGAGGGTTTAGGGTTGAGGTCTTAGGAGTGCAGGGTTTAGGGCGCAGGGTTCCGGAACAAAGGTCTATATAGGGCTGTTGTGTGGTTTTCGGAGCCTTTCATGAGGGTATATATACAATTCGAATTCCTTTATAGGAAGCTAATGACTGATTTACGCGTGCTCAGGGATTTGGGTGCGTTATGAGGCTGTTCACGCAAACCTGGCATTGGGAAAAGGGCCGAATACGCTTGCTATCTGGGTGCTTCACACTTACCGAAGACTTACGTAATCTGATTCCGGTGCGAAGGGTTCGATGACCCGGGGATATTGAACGGGGCGCAGTCTTGATACAAAACTGCTCTGCAATACTAAGTTCGCTGTTGCAATTAAAACACAGTTCAAATCCCCAAAGAACAGGTGGTGTCCCAAAATCATATGCACCCCTAGCTTGAAATCCCAAACTCCTAAACCCAGCATGTTCGTTTGTAAAACTCTACACAAAAAACACTGCACGTATATAACTCAAAACCCCGAGCCTGAAACCGATGCCGTTGTAGATACTCTATAGCAACCTTGATGGTCGCTCTCATGGAACCCCTAAACCCCAAGCCAATTGAGCCCCGAAGCCCTCTAAAACCCCCCCCCTGTAAACAACACTATCGGGATGGCTCTCTAGATCAGATTCGGGCCTTCACCCACAACCAGCTCAGGGGGTTGGGGATCCTAACACCTTTATGTAAAGCACACTCTATGTTACCTATATACAGAAAATATCAAACACCCCCAGCGGTTCTACTGATTTTGAGACTCCTATTCTATTCGCAAGCCCTAGGCCCTAATAGACACCCTTATGGAGTCCTTCATGAACCCTAAACCTAAACCCCGAACCCGTATAGACACCCTTATAGAGTCCTTTAGAGGCGCCCTTGTGGACACCCTTCTAGAACCCTTCATGACAAGGTGGTTTAGGGTTTAGGGCTCTCATCGATAAGGCCCCAGAACCCTAAGGCCCCCAAAGTAGTTCCTTTTTGGGATTCATATATAGAAACCTATAAAGGGAACTCCAGAAAGTTGGAATATGGATTAATGGTAGGATCCCCTATAATTTACCTTAAAGGGGTTAGGATAATGATATTCCAACTTTCTGGCTTCTACTGTAGGGTAATCCCACGAAGGAACTACTTTGGGGCCTCTGGGAAGAAACCCCGAGGGACGGGCTGTCGCCCCACCACGAAGCGCTTGCTTCGCAGGTTCTGGCCGCAGTATGCTCTGGGTTCAGGGCTTAAGGCTTAGGTTTTGGTCTTTCGACTTCGGTCCCGGGGCTGAAGATTCAGGGGTTAGGGTTTAGGGTTATGATGTCGGAATCGTACGACTCGAGAAGGTTTGAGGTTGGGTGCTAGGGATTCCAAGGTCAGGGTGGGGGGTTCAAGTTTGTTGTTTGGGGTTTCGGCTATGATTCTACCAATACATACGAATGCCAATAGACATAACAAGACCAGTAGCCGTATCAGTGGCAAAACCAGCAACAGGATGCATCTGCATTGCTTGTGGAGCATGAGCTGTGTAGGACGCTACACTGCAAAGCTCATTCCGAAAGGCACAAGGCCCAAAGGCCCCGAAGCTGCAACATGAAGCGAATACCCTAGTCGTGTCCACAACCCCATTGAAGTTCCTTTCTGGGAGTACCTTAACCACGAAAAGGAACCGCAATGGAGCCTATAGGTAGAGCCTAAAGATGGCCTCGAGGAAGGCCGAAGGATGTGACGCCTGCACAGACTACGCTGGCTCTGCTGCTGGAGTTAACTCGGCTCTTGCAATGGGCCCTAACTTAAGAGGGGTTCAGGGTTTCAGGTTTTGCTAAGGGTCCTAGCTGAATAGCGGTTTAGGGTTTAGGGTTGTATAAGATAGCATAATGCAACATGTCGTTAAAGTTATCATAGTGCATATCATTTGCTATAGATCCTGATTGTGGTTAAATTAGGTTCCTTGACAAGTCCCGGTCAAGGCTTCTAGCAGCGTAGGGCTTTGTAGCACCGAGAGGGCACGAGGCTTGTGAATCGGATGTTTATGTTTGATTGAGGTCTCTGGGGTTTAAGGTAAAGATATAACTACGTGTCCAGTGTTTTTGTTTTGCTTTTTTAGCTGTGACTCAGTGCTAGCAGCTGCATCTGTACTTGCCTCAGAGCATATGCACGTTTGCATGTGAGCATGTGTGAATGGAAAGGTCTGCTGAATTCCTGTATCATGGATTGATGCTTGGTTATCCACCTTTTTTCGGCTGCTTTTATCTTCGTGTGCATTTTTCTGTGGCGCATGCTGAACAAGGCTTTCGAAATACTGCCAAGAACGGCTTCAACGTGCAAAGGTTACCAGTAAAGGTGGAGTAATCGGAGATCTAAGACAGGACACTCGGGAAATGTTAAATTGCCCCGAAATGGCTAGTCCACTGTTGATTTGCCTGATAGTTCCACTGTGCCCGAAACGGTCTGGAACTCCTGCTGCACTGTGGCACCGCCTGCAAACAAGACCTTAAGCGTGAATCCTGGATCCTAAACCCCAAACCGTGATCCGCTAAATCCTGGATCCTCAAGAGCATACCAGACCAGACTTCACTTCAAACTGAAAAAGCCCGGCTCACCTGACAACCCCGCAGCCCCCCATTCCCCCCTCAACCACCCCCAAAAACGAGTACTCATGTCGGAGCCGTTTTCCTTCCGTTGTGTTGTGGGGCTTCGGTTGGTTGGGGTTGTTTGTCGGGGGGGGGTTGTCTTCGGTGGTGGTGGGGGGGGTTCCATATAGTAGTAGCGTAAGACTGAATTAAATCCAAAAGTCTTCAAGAAGCCTGCAGCCTTAACCCGTAACCCGAAACCTATTAATTTGAGTCATACCATGAAAGCATGAACTTGCCTCTGTCGGCGTGGATTCTGCAACTGTCCCGGCTGTCGCCATAGCCTCCTCCAGGACTCCAGTCATCTCCTCTAGGCTCAACCTTCTTTGGGGCCAATCGAAGCCTCGAAGCTCAACCTTCTTTGGGGGCCCCTCCAAACCTCTGAGCTCAACATTAGCGTTGTGGTATGCAACCTCAGGCACTAGCGCTACTATAACTATGGGGCTCATTGTGACCAGAAGTAAAGGGGTTTTGAACACTGAGAGGACTCTGGTGGGGCGACTGACCGGCCCGGAATCTACCCTACACCGAGATCGTCTCCATGTCTATATACCTGTAAATATGCACCTGCACAGATGCAGTTACACCTCCAGAGAAGTAGCAAACGCATTCTGATAAACATACGTGCATGACTAGCATGGCAGAAAACAGTAGGGCGGTAGACAGAACATATGATAGTGGCAGTTGCGGATAGTTCCGGCAGTCTTCTAAACCCGTGACCATCTGAGCCTCAACCTCCGCTGAGCCGGCCTAGTCTGTCCACGAGCGTACTTCATTCCACGATGCAGCGTTTAGGGATGATGTTAGGCAGGTCGCAAACCTACGCGAGCTTAAACCGATAAGTCAGCCTCAAAGCCCCAGTCCCTTCTCCCGCTAAACTTTAAACCTCATGACACTGAAGCCCAAAAGCCCTAAACGTAAATAGCATCCCAGACGTGTTCAACCATCCTGCCTCTCTGGACGTCTCAACTACGGAATCCGCTGCAGCTTTCGGCGGGCTTGTCGACGCCTGTCAGGCTTTGTTTGGCTTGGCAATCAGACTTCGACTCATACTCAACCGCCACGTCATTACACATGCAATGAATGGTATTTCCGAAAGCTTTCTGACGCTGCCGCGGTGCTGGGTATACGACGTTGAGGCCCTTAGCCTGAAAGCCTATGTTATAGAAGCCTGACAACTACCAACGCTAGACCTTCTTGTTCATACTTTGGCTGTCGTACTGTCTACCCCGAATCCCTATTCTATTTCTAATGGCTCGTTATCATCCGATCGTGAAAGTCAGTCAGGGCGCCATTCCGTCACCACGCCGCTGCCAAACCGCAACCGACCATGGCAGCAATTGACAAATAGAGTTTAGGGTCTGGGGCTTGGGTAGATAGGGTTTACGGTTTAGGGATCCTGTTGCTCACATACCATTCGCCAAAGTCCATTGTGACATAATAGCATGTGGAATACCTTCATGAGGTGCATCGACACTGCCCTCATGCTACTCAGTACACATGGCCGCATACGATGGCTTCATAACAGCCCTAAACCATACACCCCGAGCTACCTAGGCTGAAGGGTGCATGGCAAGGGCTCATGGTGTGGGACGGGAAGAGTTTGTCTTTGAGGCTGCAGGTTTAGGGCATTTTAGGGCTAGGTTTAGGCTTCAGAGTTCAGGGTTTCGGGTGTAGGGTTCAGGGTTTGAGGTGACAAACTGCCGTGTTGCACGGATCGTTCGGCTTGCCCGCCGAAGGGCCGCGCGAAGCCATCACATGGAAATCAAGGCAAGTCCAATCCCTCGTGACTCTGGTCAGTGCCCTCCGTGATTGCCAGTCTACAGGATAAAACTGAACAACACAGCTACGCATATCAACCTCAGACTCTGGACAGCTCGAGGCACGACTCCACAATACAACCACAATACAAAGGTTTTCGGTCTTTGAACTTTGGGGCCTCTGGTTTCAAATCCTGATCGACCACAGAACTTTGAGTTTCGTGCAGTTTCTAGGACTTTCGGACTCAACGAGGCGTCGAGTTGAGGATCATTTAGAAGCTGCCCCCACCCTGTAATAGTGACTATAAGGATTATGTTAGGGCCCTATTTTATTCCTATTATACCACTACTACAGGGTGGGTTTAAGGTTTAGGGTTCAGGTTTTGGGTTTAGGGTTTAGGGTTCAGGGAATTAGGGCGATCAAGCTGATCCTACGGTCCATGTACTCATGTAGGATATACCTTGGCCATAAGTCCCTATTTCGGTACTCTGGGGCCGAAGTACATACCATATGAGTACATGGACCGTCAAGGTGATCCATGGGCAGCTCTCTAAATTAGCGTCCCTTTAAGACTTGAAGGTTTCCCAACTAGCAGGGTTTAGGGTTTAGGGCTTAAGGGTTTAGGGTTTAGGGGTTCAGGGGTTTAGGGGTTTAGGGGTTTAGGGCTTAGTGTTTAGGGGTTTAGGGTTAAGCTTTATATAGGTGTTTAGGGTTTAGGGTTTAGGATGAAAATGGGACCCTGCTTTAGAGAACTAGGACAGAAAATCACCCGGGTTCCCAACCCTCCACCTGTGAAAACGAAATACATAGGGACTTTGACAAGGAAAACATGGGATCCTACCATGGAGCTCTCTTATCAAGGCAACAACAAACAATAATCTCTGTCCGAACTCCCTAAGCATGGACCCCATTCTGAAAGTCTGACATTTTACATCACCTTGCGGGCAGCGCTGCAAATTCTGAACCTTCATTGACAAGCTTGGACACTCTTCTGACTGGGGCCCATGCGTTGCAGACACGTGGTGGCCGCTGGGTCCAAAATAACAAAAAAGTGCTTGAGAAGAAGGCGAGCCGCACGTGTCGCCCATCGAAGATAAGATCTGTAAACTCTCAATGCATGCTACTGTCCGTCAAGCCGCAGCATTGCCTCATATCCTGAACATCCGAGGACCACAAAACCTGATGAAACCCATAGAGTACCTTGCATAAAAAACCTCACAGCCCAGTAGAATCCTGGAAGTACCCCTTTTTGGAACATGTCGGAAACTTTACGGAAACATACGGAAACCCTTTTAGAAGCCATTCTGAATCCCAGAGATCGGGTTCGAACCCATGGAGCAAGCCCCGCAGTGTCCAGCGTATAGTTTAGGGTTTAGGGCTTAGGGTTTAGGGCTTAGAGTTTAGCGTTTAGGGCTTACAGTTTAATACTTTTAAACCACGAGCTCAGCATGTGTGCAGTCAACCGTCGGAAGGAACGTGCACTTACGACGTATACAAATGCCTTATCAAGACCATTGCTAAGAACAACTTTTATAACTGTTCATGTTGTTGCTGCTTTTCGACCCATTACTATACAGTTGCTATTGCTGCGTCAACATGTAACATGACCATGGTTATATAGTTGCTACTATTGTCATTGCTTCAACATGCCAGGTCGCAAAATCAAACTCGGCAAGAGGGGGTGGAGCACAATATGTTCAAGCAGCACAGTTTCACCAACGGCTATAAGCATAAAACTGATGCCCTCTCTGACAAAGGAATGTCTGGACATGCTGATGTCCATACATGTATGTAAATATATATATATATATATATAATATATAATACATAACATACCCAAACCTCCATATATGTGTACATGCATATGAACATACATGTGTGGGTGCATGCAAGTGTGCGATGACAGTAACTGCACGCATGAATGTAATTATGTCCGTATGCATGTAATGTGCAGGCAGCGTTAGGTTGGTAACGGTATAGGTGCACGCATGCACAAAAAAAGGAGAGAATCACCATCCAAATGTGGGTCTTGGCCGATAGTAGTGAGCGCAATCTGTATGTATGATTGCAATGAGGGGAAGCCCGGTAAACTGGCCTGTAGTTTAGGGTTTGGGGGGCGAGCAGCCCTATTTCAATTCCGTCATCGAACTACTGAGTACTACAGATTTGCTTAGATCCTTCTTGGAAGGTTCTCCCGACAAAGGAGTGTCATGTAATCTGGTATCATATGATGCCACATCTCGCAACAGACACTGCATCTGTTACTTTCGATCAAATCCAGCCTGTCTTGATTGTTCCGCAGCACCTCGTCGCAAGCTCATTTTATTTTGCTCGCGATGCCCGTGTCTCTTCTACAGCCTCGTGCTGCTCGACAGCAAAGGCCTCGCGTGCGTTTGACATGAACCAGCTGAGTCGGAACAAGCGCAAAGTCACTGAGCCAACGAAACCGTTGCGCACTGTTAAACTCCCGAGCAACTGGTTCTCAACAGTACGATGAGCCCATCCCACAATGTCTCTCGTAGCATCGCCCAACATCATTCCCGTGTGTATGCTGACTGCTTTCGTTTTCATAGTTAGTGCTTGTGCATCTGCTGTGCATGCGCCTCTGTGTGTGTGTGTACAAATATGTGTATGTGGATCTGTCAACTTGGCTGTGGCTGTTGTGCTGGAGTTGCATGTGGGCCGGCACAAAGCATGTGGATGTACAAACAGTTCCTAAATGACTAAGTGTCGCGTCTCTGGCTGATCTGTCCTCCAATGTCTGTGCCCGACCTTCTTGGGACCTATGCATGCAACAAATTGGGCTCTTTCTTGCTTGCATGCTTGCTTGATTGCTTGGGGGTGTGGCAGCAAAACCTCCTGGCGTGAGATCCTACCTCGCTCTCAGTTCTCTCTCGGCACATGCCATCAACTCAGGCATAAAGGACGGGGAGACAAAGAGAGAGAGAGAGAGAGAGAGACAGAGAGAGATAAACATAGAGAAAGAGCAACCCTTGAGTCTTGAGGACACTGCACGGGCGAATGATAATCTGATAATGCATGTCATCATGCTCGGTACGCCCTCATTCATCGCCCGTCCGTCCATCAACATGATGCTCTACTACACTCTACTGACCAACAGTTTTGAGACAAATGCCCATGCGTCTGCGCTCCCACTTCTCTGATCCTTCGGATGTCTTAGTCTCACTTCGCCGAGGCCCTAAACTCAAAAACCAAAGCCCTGCACTCTGAATCCAAAAGCCTTACACTAGAAAGTGCCAAACCTCTAAGCCATCAAGGAACATCGTTTGGTAGTCTAGGCTTCTCTGCCCGACCATCTGCTGCAGCCTCAAAATACCCAAAAGCAATGCAAATCCTGAGTCTCCATTCCCTTGCTCGTATCGAATATATGACCACGGTGAGTGTCTGTCGTATTTGGTCATCCCTATATGTAGCTGAGTACCATTATGTTTGCGGCCGACATGGTTATCCCCACATTCTGAAAATCGGCACCCTAAAGGCCCAAGGCCCTAAAACCAAAACTCCCTAAAGCTTCCAATGCGCCTAAACATCAGAGTCATGCTGGACAATAGACTCCAAAATAGCCACTGAACCAATAATCTAGAATCTAGGGTCTATAAAACTTCTGCATGCTGTTGCATGCTGCAGCAACGCTGCAGACCGTGCCCGCAGCAGGGGCCGCAGAGCGGGCGCGTGGCGGCCCAAACGGATCAAAAGCCTTGCCTGAAGCTCAGGGTCTAGGGCTCCATGGTCCCTTTTTTTGGCACGGACTTGCAGTGTATGCCGGCAGCGAAGCTCTAGGGCAGAGCCTTCCTCAGTCTCCGGGTTCCCCTACATCCTAAACCCGGAGACTTAATGAAATAGTGTTGGGGGTTGCATCCATAAATACAGACATACGCCCGTGCGAAAAGCTGGCAGAGAGAGAGACGCAAAGAGGCAGAGCGAGGCGCAAAGGGACAGGACGCTTTCAGAACATTTTCCGGCACCGCGACGAGATGCACCGTGAGTCGCGAGTCCTAAATCCTACACAGGAAGCCTTAACCCGAAAATTGAAAGGGTATATAAACCCTAAACCGAGGTTGTTCTTCTCTTCCCGTGGATCTGGAGATGCTGAGTTCTTAAGAGTTTACTGATGACACGGTTGGTACTACTACGACGACGACTGCTACTACACGAAGCCGACAACGACGATGACGACGACGACTTTGCTACTCCTGCTGCTGCTGCTACTGCTACTGCTATTGCTACTGCTCATGCGGCTGCGACTCCAGCTGCTACTGTCGCTGCCTCCACCACCACCACCACCACCACCACCACCAGCACCAGCAGCAGCAGCAACAACAACAACAGCAACGACAACAACAACAGTAACAAGGTGCAGCAACAACGAACACAACTGCAGCAGCAACAACAACAACAACAGCAACAACAACGCGCCAGCGGGCTGTTCACGTGCGCCAACTAGGAAAGAAATGCTGCAAACGTCGTCCCTGCCGAGTGTTTCGTATCTTGCACTACAGCCACGCGGCGTGCA